GCTGACATTCTGTTATCACACACCGACAGACACACACAGATAAACACGCACATTAAATATTCACTGAAGTATTGACGTTGGCAGACCGACAGGCGTGCGCAAACACGCGCACGCACGCACACGAATCACCTGGCAGCAATTAGTCTCGGCCCATAAGATTCCCCTCACTCATTTCACTTAGCCGTAGGTGCAAATTAAATTTGTCGTAGCACACCGTCACTGATCTCTCATCATATGATGTTGCCTCACGCAGTAACATGCACTCGCATATGCGCACTCGCACACACTTAAAAGCTCGAATAGATCGAGTTCAATCTTCACATTTTAATTGTGACGTTTGGAGCTGCTAAGTGGAAAGCAGAAATGGTCCACTTCAGCTTAATTATTATTTTTTTGTCTGATTAGCACTTGTCGAAACGACATTTTAACTATTCAAAACCTGCAATATGTCCACCCATCCATTTTCTGATCCGCTTATCACGACGAGGGTCGCAAGGGGTGGTGGAGCCTATCCCAGCTGATTTCGGGCAGTAGGCGGGGGACACCCTGAACAGGTCGCCAGCCACCTGTAATATATATTTTACCTTAATTCGTTTTTTTTGGGTTCAGAGACTCTGAAACGCTTCCTCATATATAGTAAAATAGTGTTGTAAAATTAGCCGAGGATCGGTAAAACAGAAACAGAAAAAAAAAAAATCGATGAACAGGTGAATTTGACAGAACTGAAAATATGCGGGGGCCACTGTGTATTGTTAACATATCAATTGCAGTTGCAGTGCTTTCTCCACCAACATCGACAGCTTTACAGCGGCCACGTGGGGACAAATAGTCGAGGTGTGGCGTGCCATTTATTTATTCATGTGGGTGATATCCCCAGGGATAAATAGGGGCACGATTTCCAGCCTATGAAGTTAAATGAAGCTGAATTAAAAGAAAGGGGGTCATGTGAAACGCCATAAACCGGCACATGTGCGCTTGGCGTGAAAACTGGCGCATCTTGAGTTTCGTGCCAGGGCAAGTCACACACAGACACACAATCGTGGATGGAAGGCGGTCTCCAAGTCCCCGCTTCACAGAAGCCGACTTTAAATCATCCACAAGATGAGATCTTTCTGCAGTCCCTTATGAAAGTACTTTGCGCACACCAATCTCCTGCACAGACTCCAGCGCCCCCTTTAGCTTCCGCCATGTAGGCCAGGCGCCTCTTCTGAATTTAAAAGGAATGAGAGCAGCTTCGATTGGCCAGGAATCACCAAAAGAAAGAAAAGTCCCCTCATGCGCACCGTTCGACGGCACTTTGCACTCGACTCGCGCTGGGCTCAATAACAGGACCCTACGTGCCTAAAAACTAGAGGATCCAGTACAGAACCTTGACGAATACCACATTTAAACATACAGCATAAAAATGACACCCCATAGCATTCCTGCGAGCAACAGACAAAGATGATTGTGTTTCACAGGCATTTTGTATTTACAGGAAAAAATATGTCTCATTTCATGTTACAATTTGAAGGAAAACAATGAGTTTATCTCAACTATCTGGGTAAAGATGCAGTCACTAGTAGATCAAATAATCTCAATATATTTGTATCCCCCTTTAGCTTCCGCCATGTAGGCCAGGCGCCTCTTCTGAATTTAAAAGGAATGAGAGCAGCTTCGATTGGCCAGGAATCACCAAAAGAAAGAAAAGTCCCCTCGTGCGCACCGTTCAACGGCATTTTGCACTCGACTCGCGCTGGGCTCAATAGTAGGACCCTAAGTGCCTAAAAACTAGAGGATCCAGTCCAGAACCTTGAGGAATACCACATTTAAACACAGCAGAAAAATGACACCCCATAGCATTCCTGCGAGCAACAGACAAAGATGATTGTGTTTCACAGGCATTTTGTATTTACAGGAAAAAATATGTCTCATTTCATGTTACAATTTGAAGGAAAACAATGAGTTTATCTCAACTATCTGGGTAAAGATGCAGTCACTAGTAGATCAAATAATCTCAATATATTTGTATAAGGGTGGAATGCATGCAGTTAAGCAGTCTCTTGCTTAGCATGCCACGAATGAGTCAGTTGTGGCAAAATGACATCATAACACTTCACATCAATGGCGCACTGCTGCTAATTGACGACGCTCGAATTGTTGCTCTGTGATTTAGATAAATACTTGGACAAGTGAAGTGCTCTAATTATCCCAGGCGTGTTTGGAAAATCGCTTCACTTGAGATGGCTGCACAAGGAGACAAGCTAATTAGGAGCCGTTTCCCCACTCTCCGCTCATTAATAACACGCGGGCAATTAAAAGGAGCCACGGTGGAACGGGGTGCACCGGGTGCTAACAAGATTAGCCGCATGGAGCGATGGGTTTATTACAGAGACAGACGCGCGCGCGCACGGGAGCAAAATACAGTAAGTCGGCGCTTTGAAGAAAATTGCCTTCTCGCAAGTCATCTGTTTATCTCATCACCAATAGTAATGGCTGGATTAAAGTGGAGGTGAGATGAATGCCGCGAGTGATAGCAACTCTGGGTGCCCGTAAAATGTCATCACTGGTCACAGAATTAGGTGCACCCGCACAACACCTTATGATATCTCATTCAAAAGCTGCATTTAAAAAAAATGATGCCTTTACAAAGACAATGAAGCTCAGTTTTGATTGACATTTTGCAGAAAATGCCTTTTTTTTCTTGCTCGTATAAAAATAAAGCGGTGGCTTGAGCCACTGATCTGTGCCTACTACCAGAGATGTGAGGAGATCGATTGACAGGGAAGGAAGGCGGGGCGGAGGGAGAGAGGGAATATTTGGGGGAAATGAGGCGATGGTGCCTCGATGTCATTTCATGGTGACGTCTCTTAAAGCTAACGTCACGTCAGGGAGAGCTGCGCAATTGTGGGAGTGGTCACAGCCGACTTCAATTGGAGCAAATCAATCCTATCATTCTCTTTAAATGCAACTTGAGTCTAGAACATGGACTAAGTACAACTGTGGCGCGAAGTGGACACTCTCATAATGCCCCCCCCCGCACACACACACACACACACACACACACACACACACACACACACACACACACACACACACACACACACAGTTGTGCCACCCTGTGTTATGATTTTTTTTAAAAAAGATACAGGGAAAGCATTACTAATGTCTTCCCATAGTGATCTTCAATCCATAGTGTGATGATATAAAGTAGTTAATTTAAAATGGTGTGGGCCGTTTCCCCCTCAAGCATGTATCTATACAAAACATAGTTGTACGTATCCGTATTGTGAAATGGAGCGTATAAAAGGCGTCAGTCACAGTGGTAACTTTTCCCAGTGTGAGCATGTCGCTCTTGACAAGAGACTCAATCAGCAGGACCAAAGCCTGCCTCCACTTCTCCCCCGGCCGGGGCCCGCTCCTTTGCTGCCGGCTAATCTCCACTGCAGGATGTAGAGGAGTCGTTTGATATTGTCTTCCCTGGTGTTTTTCATTACCGCCGCCTTACCGCAGCCTAACACTGACTTTAGCTTTCACATTAGCGCGGCTCTACAACACACCGATCGCCACACAATCCCGTCACAACCTCCCATCTTCTACTCTAACCCCACTCGCCTTGCAAAGCCCGCCCGCGTACTCTCATCTTTTCGATTTTTATTTATTTTTTTTTTAGATATGGGGTCAAAAACATTTTTTTTTCCTGAGGAAGATGACCTACCAACCTGTTTGAGAAGTAAACACTGACCTCTGCTGTTACTTCAAAACCGCGCCACATGTACAGAGTGCAGTACTGTACTGTATATACAATGACATTTAAAAAAAAATAAATAAATATTTTTAAAAAGAGTTGTCCCCTTTTAAAATTCTTTTTTTTTGGGGGGGGCAGTTTCCCCACTTGCATTTTTAAGCTCAAACCAATGTAAAGCAATCAGTGAAGTACACATAAAATGCAGTTTTCAATGGTGATTTCAGTGCATTTGGGTTCGGCACGACAATGAAAAAAAAAAATCAGCAAGGCGATGTCTGAATGGCTTTAAAAAAAAAAAAAATCAGCAAGGCGATGTCCGAATGGCTTTAAAAAAAAGCAGTCCAGATCTGAATCTGATTGAAATGCTGTGGCATGACCTTCAAAAGGCCATTCATGCCCAAAAACCCTCCAGCGTTGCTGAATTAAAGATATTCGGTAAGGAAGAGTCGGCCAAAATATCTCCACAAAGATGTGAAAGACTCATTGCCATTTACAGAAAACGGTTGATTTGAATTGTTTGTTGCTGCTGAGGGTGGCCCAACCAGTCTTGAGGTTTAGAGGGGCAATCACTTTTTCACATCGGGCCCTGTGGGTTTGGAATGTTTGTTTCTCTTAATAACAGACACCTTAATTTAAAAACCGCATCTAGTGTTTGCTTGTGTTATCTTTGACATTTAAGTGTGACAAACATGCAACAAGACGAAGAAATCAAGAAGGAGACGTACACTTTCAAGCGTGTGTGTGTGTGTGTGTGTGTATGTATCATTTCAGAATACTGTATATATTTTTTGTGACATTTTCATCTTTGAGGTTTTTGAACGCAAGTCTCATAGACATTAAGACACCAGGAGAACGGTTTAAATAATGCATAATATGTCTCTTTTAGGCACTATTACAGGTCCTTGTTAGTCACTTTTCCCTCCTGCAAAAAAATCAAACAAAAAAAAAACAAGCAAAATGATACAAGTCTGTTCGATTCATGTAGATTTCTTACTCGACAGCACCACCTGCAGGCAAATTCAATAAATTCATCTTTCTCTCCGGTTTCGCCACGTTTGCTGATAGGAACGCTGAGTCAACAAATGACACCAGGAAGAATAAAGACTTTTGTATTCTGGGGGTTAACCATGTCAACAATTACGAATGGTATTTACATAAAAACAACATCAATGGATCAGCCAAGCGTGCGTCTTCATGTTAGAACTGGTTAGCATCAAACACTCAATGTCATCTACAGCCACCTTTGGTCCATAACCACAATTTCAATGTGAGATTTTTTTTTTTTTTTTTTTAAGTGGAAAGTTATCCGAGCTCGGCTCACTGGTGTTCTTTTAGGAATTCCTTCATGTACTTGGCCAGAGCTTCGGTGTCCTGGAGGGTTACAGCATTATACAGAGAGGCACGAATACCCCCGACCGACCTGCAGGGGGAGACAAACCGTTGTGACAATGGTAGCAGCTGTCAATCGTAAGAAAACATTTTTTTTTGTTTTGTTTAGGGATATCTTGTTACGTGGATCTGTGTACATATAGACAGCCCTCATGTTGCGACATAACTGGTAACAGTGGGAAAATACTAACCTGTGTCCCTTGAGTGAGATCATTCCACGTTTGGACGCCCCATTGAGAAACTCCTTTTCCAAGGCATCATCCCCCTCTTTCTTCCCTACGCGGAAAGGTATATTCATGCGGCTACGACAAGCCTCGTCTACCGGACACCTAGTGGGGTGGAGAGAACAAATACATCAGTCAGATGATAATTTTGACAGACGTTTATTCATTTAAGTTTCATTTGTGGCCTTTTTGGGCCGCAGAATTTTATGGCAGGACTGACAGAGGAATCTCTTCGGTCAACCAAAATCCATTTAAAGCATGCTGGCCAACTTCCAATTTGTTCAGATTTTAATTCTTATGATAAAACCTTTATTAACTGTACCGTACACATGTCTTTTATAAGTTAGGGCAATAAAAAGTGAAAAGAGTTAGCTTGGATGCATTTGAATATGTCTGTTGGGTTAAAAGCGGACAACTGGTGGTATTTTTTTTTTTTTTAATTCCCTGAATGCAAGGATGGCGCCCGACAGCGCCGATATCGTGGTTTATCTGTCAATAGAACACCAAAGCGCGTGAGAGAAAACGTACACGTAGAAGCCGTTGGAAGAGTCGATGACGTCATAAACCAAGTCCGACTTGCGCTTGTTGAGCGCCTCCATGGCGGCTGCGCCGCCGCTTTTCTTGATCCACTCGAGAACCAGGCACATGATGTAGATGCTGCGCATGGGAAAACACGCATTTTAAAACACTCAACAACCACAATATTGATTAGGATAGGCCTCATAAAATGAGTGCTGCAATGTTAATGTTGCGGAATTGAGAGCAACACAGTGCCCAAGCGGAAAGCACATCTGCCTCACAGTTCTGAGGCGTAGGGTTCAAATCGGGCGCCGGATTCCCATTGTGGAGATTCATGTGTGATGTAAAACAGTGATTCTCCCTTTTTTTTTTCCCTTTTTAAATATATTTTTGTATTCTGTGTAAAATAGTTCATAAACAACCTGAAACAGGGCGGCGTGTTGTACAGCGAGTTCATCTCGGCCTGCACTTTGTAGTCCAGGATGATGGGACACTCTTTTTGGGCGTGGCCTATCAAGTCGTCGCGCACGATGACCACGGTCACCCCGGCGCAGCCCACGTTCTTCTGAGCGCCCGCGTAAATCAGACCAAACTGAAAAGAAGAACACGGCAGAATCACTTTCCACCGATCCAGACAGGAAGCGTTCGTGTGCACCGCATATGCGAGAAATGCCAGCCGGGTTCCAAAGAAATTGAACATTTACTTCGTTACACTTTGGTGTGACAATTTCATTTCCCTCACAGATTGAATGAGTAACTACTGATCTTTCTATTCATTTTTTTTTTACGTCTCAACCAACTCACTAGTCTGCATCAAATATAAAACACAAACTGTACTTGAAAGAAATATCGAGTGGGGCAAAGTCACCAAGTGCTCCACAGACTCTTCTGATTGAGATGTTCGTTGTGGGTCTCCCCACCTTGGAAACGTCCACGGGCCGCGACAGGAAGTTGGAGGACATGTCGCTGACGAGGGTCACCCCGTTGGTCTCGGGCATGAAGTTGTACTCCACGCCGTGCACGGTCTCGTTGCAGCAGTAGTACACGTAGGAGGCCGCCGGGTTGAGGTTCCAGCTGCTCGGCTCGGGGATTTCTGGAAGAAAACGTCACAATCAAAAGATGTTCACCTCCTTACGCTCGAGTAAGGAGGTTTGATAAATGTGTAGAATGACTAGAGGCAAGAAATCCCGTCAATGAGAAGGTCATCAAACCGCCCAAATTGTGTTTGCAGATAAACATAATCATGTCGGTCGATGCGCGCCACTATTGCAATCTGAAATCATAACATTAACTCTCCGTGTATAAGAATGAATGCGAAAACACGGCGATCCTGTTCAGGGTAAGCGGCGTTGAAAATGGATGGACAAGAATACAAATGAAAATCTTCGAGTAAAACATGAATTGCTAAGCATAAAACCTTGAAGACGGAAAATTGCTTATGTGTCAAGACGTTTGCTTCCTCTTAGAAGTTGCTTAAGCCTCGTTGGATGTCTACAAAGACTTCCTTTTCGTCAAACTTGTTTCAATTTCGGGGTTTTTTTTGTTTTTTTGCCTCCATTATTTTGACCAAATGAGGTATTCAGTCACACATGGAAATGTCCGTGTAACAACGAGATAGCGAAGAGGCACATTAGCTCAACCATGAAGAAAGAGGGCCCACATTCCAGATTGTTTCATTGGGCCGGCCCGCTTGTGCCAGCCCATTACACAACAGACTGCCCATGATGCCGCAACATTTTGGTTCTGGTTGATTGTTAAGAAGAGTATGTGAGCACTCTTGTTTAATCCCCGGAGGCACTTCAAATGGTGGCTGGTGTGTGCTGACTTCCATATAAAGAGTTTGAAGGGCATATCGTGGCAGCCAGAAACAATGAAATGGTAGTTTAAGAAGCTTTGCCAACGAAGCAGACCTCCATTTTCATGTAACGCGAATTTGTCATGAAACTCAGATGAGAAAATCACGGTCAGGTTTTTCTCTTCTGAGGCATCAAAATGTTTAGCTTCGCTGTTACATGTTCCATATTTCAAGAGCAGGACTGACCACATCCAAATGCGTGCACTCACTCGTGTAACTATCCATCTTCGGGTGAACTATGTTGACTTTGCCATATTTCTCGGCCTCTTTGGCAGCCTTCGCCGACCATGTGCCCGTCACGATGTAGTCTGCGCAGTTGTCCTCCTTCAGGCCCATCAGATTGAGGGCGATGCCGCTGAACTGGCCCGACGCGCCGCCCTGCAGGAACATCACCTTGTAGTTGTCGGGGATGTTTCTGTGGGGGTGACAACAGCTCACTTTTGACCTCCACGTTTTCTGTCGTCCTCCGTGACAGTGAAATGAACGTGTGTGTGTGTGTGTGTGTGTGTGTGTGTGTGTGTGTGTGTGTGTGTGTGTGGTGTGTGTGTGTGTGTGTGTGTGTGTTTTGAATCAAAATCAAACATTGGCCTTTTACTTTGGAAAAATATTTTTTGCCTGTTTTCTGACAAATTTACGTCTTAATAATTTTTTATTTTTAATACTTTTTTGTTGAATGTAGTATTAAACTTATTTAATTAAAAAGCAGGACTTGGGATTTTTCGACATAGTGAATAACAATCAGACTAATTATGTAGTAGTGCAATTATAATTGTTTCAAAAAAAAATTGTTTAAAAAAACAGTAAGATTAAGCATAATTTTTATTAATAAAGTGTATATACATTTGTCAACATTATAATTATCACTGATTTTTATTCCTTTTGGTTTTTACATTGGCCAACATGATCACCGTATAATGGTACCACATTTCTACTTACAGCAACTCTCGTAGGAGATGCTCTGCCTTGTTTATGATCTGAGTGAATTCTGGCGATCGGTGGCTCATTTCTGGAGAGAGCAAAAAAAAAGCATTAGAAATGACAGACTTTCTTACTATAGCCTACATATGAAAGAAGAAGTGAAGAAAAGTATAATACGTCTCTATTTAGGTAGCGCTTTCACAACAGCTGCAGCTGAAACAAAGCGCTTGCCAGAACAGCTAACATAAAATAACAAAATACGGTAATATAACGCAACATAAAATATAAGACATGGTGTACAAAAAGTGGGCCCTTCTTCTTACCCAGAACGCTGATCCCAAAGCCACTATAGCTGAGGAGCTCCTGCTGGGCTTGAAGCAGAACCTGCAGCACGTGTCCAAATAAAAGAGGTCATGAAAACATCATGATGGGTGAATCGTTGACAAAACATAAGGCTGCACACTGGAGCCTGGAGAATACCAGATGTTTTGGTGCCTTTGTTGAGAACATGATGAGCTGGGTGAAACTTCATTTAACGACATAAAGTCCAAAAGTCTTTTACAAAGGTTACAAAAAAGTTCCGTTGTAACTATCAGGGGATATACTGATGAAAAATAATACAGTAATAAACCAAAACACGACAACACAGTCAGTATGATGCACTTCAGTTTGACGTTCGACGAATGACGGGGAAAAAGTGATTTCAAATCATAACCGTCAGCTTGATTGTGTCAAATAACACTGCTGTAATAACTTGTAAATGTTTTTTTTTAATCAAAAACTGTTAACAAAAAAATTCAGTTTGATTTGCAAAATAGCAAATGACAGTGGAAGGATTTTTTCTAATACAACAAAAAATATGTATCTCCAGAAATAACTACAAAAGTTTCAAACAGGTCATTAACACGCACGTATAATTCTGCTAATAACTTTTAAATAATTGTTATTGTTATGATTTGTATGAAATTACATTTTAGTAATAATCCCCAACATGGCAAATAAAAAATTCTTCTCTGTTACGGATGTGAATAGAACTATTCTTAGTTGCTATCACGTGATATAGTGTACTTATTTTTTCTGTTTTTTTATGTAATGTTATATTGGATTCTATGTTATACAGAGGTGTAAGAATTTTATAGGCAAACGGAGAGTTGGGAAGGGTGCGAAATGTTTTCTTCATCCTGAATGGGCGTAACAGAAAATAATAATAAGAATAATAAATAAGCACTGCTTGAAGCACATTTCAACTGCGCGTAAAACTGCAAACAGGGTTTGACGTCTTTGTGCAAAATTCCAGCTCGATGTTCGATACCACGTGATATGACAGACTTTTGCTCCAGAAAACATGTCATGCAAGCCATGTGGAAAAGACCTGGATGTGCAGTTGGCAGTTGCAAACGGATCAGAACGTTTCCGCATGAATAAAAAGGAGGCAGGCTGATGCAACTCAGCTGCATGTTTTCAGCTTGTTGCTGAGCGATGCGAAAGTGTCCCCTGCTGTTCATTCATTCATTCAGTCACGAGCAACCTTTTTTTTTTTGCAATCACGGGAAGCAGACAATTTATGTGCACAATTAGAAAATCACGGGAAGCACAGACAGTGTATGTGCACAATTAGAACAACCACACACATTTTAGCAGAAAATTATACAGTAGTCTACAATGGCACATTTTGGTTGCAATTACACCTACTTATCTCCCTAATCATTCTGACTGTACTGCTTTTTCTGTTTTTATTGTTGTTTTACAATGTCCTAAAGTGTCTTTCAAATCGCTCATAAACTATGTAATTAACCTTGCAGGAATCTGCTGTTTCTTATCGCGATCGTTAACGTCGCTAGCAAAATGCTAAAACTTACCGGTGGGGGGAGTTTAGCGGGCCCGGCTCCGAAATTGATGATATTCTGATTGATTTGAGACTCCATGTTTCTGAATAAGGCCACGAAAAGAGAAAAGTGGAGAAAGACGGCGAAAGTGGACGCGACGTGGATGTCTTTCCTCAAGCTGCTCTCCTCCTCCAACACTCAATCGGGTCAACGTCACGCAGGTCAGTTGTGCGTGTTGCATTCAAGGAAGCTAGGACACCCAAGCTACCTTATGATGGATTTCAGAGTAACGACGTGTAATCGGACTTTCGGGAAATAAAATTGCAAAACAAAATCATAACTGCATCGAGACTTCCTTCTTTACAAAAGATAACTATGCCAAAAATAAAACGAGAAAGTGTTCAAATACTACTTCCCTAAACTGAAAACCACTGTATTTCTTTAAATCAGGGATGAGCATGTGACCCGCCAAGAAACTGAGTGGCCTCTTGAGTAATCTTTCCCCCCAAATGATTTTTTGTTGTGTTTTGCTGTCATTAGGAAAAAAATTAAAACATTTCACCAACTTTATATACTCTCACGTGACGCATAACCAGGCTTTCTCGCTTTATTGTGCACTTTTGTGGTTCTTAGTTTATTCACACTCTTTATATTTACAGCGATAAATATGCTTTGTCGATTTCAAAAGACTATACAAACTGAAAAAGCAGTTTTCAAGACACTACATCGTGAATTCATGTAGAAATGTACAATAATGTGCGCATAGCTAAAACAGTAGGCTGCCACTATAATGCAAAAACACTCGACGATGTCCTTGCGAATTGGAGATAAGGAGTCCAAAACAAAATGAGACATGTCAGAAGTAGGACAAAATCAAACAAAGAGTTGTGATTAAAATACGGTGCATTACGCTGAGGCTTCACAAGCATGGGTGGGTTATGGTGCGTTGACTGCAGTGGTCAAAGGACTGGCTCCATGGTCCATGCGGAGTCTTTTTTTTGTTTTGTTTTGTTTGTTTGATTTGGACGGGACATAATTTGGGAAGGTGGAACACATTCAAATGTTGAAGCTCTCTCCGCACCCACACGTGCCCTTGATGTTGGGATTGTTGAAAACAAATTCGCTGGACAGTTTTGACTCCACAAAGTCCATCTCTGTCCCCAGGAGAGTCAGCTGGGCTTTCTTGGCGATGAACACCCTCACGCCTGACACGGTGCACAAGGAGGAAAAAGAGCACTATATAATTTTATACTTTTTTTTTAAACAATATATCATAATTAGGGGTGGGGTAAAAAAAAAAAAAAGTCAACCTAGTCGATCACAAAAATAAGTTGACGCAAAATGTTTGCCCTGAGGCATTTTTGGCACTGTTGTACTCCATCCACACAAACATTTCCAGACCACATAGATGTCCATTTTACCTATGATGACCTTTTCACGGTCTACAAACTGACTCGATTATTGGATGGATGGAATAATCAATTCTAAAATTATTCAATAGTGACAGCCCTAAATATAATTGAATAGAATCTAAAGAATTAAACGGTGTGTGCATCATATTTTCATGCTGCAATTAAATTCATTTTGCTATTTCTTCCGGTGTGCCCACCTTGGCCACCGGGAGGCATTATAATACCGGACACAAAAACTGACTAATCAAATAAAATTATCAACTAGAACTCATTAAAAAAATAAATAAAACAAGAAAGCTCACCATCCTGCTGCACCTCCTCATCACTATTTTCCTTCTGCTTCGTGTAGTCCAGCGTGTACGTCAGTCCGTTGCAGCCACGCGTTCTCACGCCAACTTTCAAACCAATCTGGGAAGAGACACTGATGCTTAGTCACAAAAGCAGCGTTTTCCCATCAGCGGCCCTTTCACTTGATTGTTGGACCATACAAATCTTACGAAAAAATTATATTACTCACATATTCCGGTTTGTCTTGCAACAAACATCGGATTTTGTTCACAGCAGATGGTGTCTAGAAAAGCAATCAAGTTAGTAGTCACAAAAAAAAGTACAAATTTATTTTTATTTGAAAAACTGCAAGACTTTTTTTCATTATTACCAACTACGTATTTCAACAATTATAGCATGATTGGCTGAGTCATGATTTATTACATTTTGCCTCCTACGCACCCCCCCCCACACACACACACACACACACACACAAACACACGCTTCGGAAACGATATGTGACGCCCTGTTTTCGATTCGATTGCATTCATTTTCACGTAGGTCTCCGCCCTCAGTCCGGAACTTTGTCGTGAAATAAGGATATCCTGTACTTAAGGAGGATTTTGTACTTTTTACTGTTGATTGAAAACTTAGTCACTATAAACAGCGTGTCGGTGGTGATGTTATTGTTTTTTTAAAGAAATGTTTTAAAATATAGAGAATATTACATGACTTAACAAAAACGAAATGGCCGATCGGCTATTAGATTCATATTCTGCCGTTGGGTTTACGCATATAACTAAATACATCAAGAAATTAAATCATGAAGCGCAATAAACTACGCGTCATTCACACAACTGATAACTACACAGCATTCACGTCTGTAACGTCTTCATAATTAATACATTTGAAGTGCATTGCTTGCAAATAATTTATGACGTATTAGAACGACAAAGAGGGTTGGACAATTTAAAATCCCACATTGGGAATTATTTGAACGGTTGACAAAGATGCTGCTAATGACGTTACAAAACAAATCGCAGGCTGCCGAGTTTCATGTCGAAACTTCAGACCGGCAAATAGTTTAAAACATTCCCAGTGATCACCAAGGTCATTAAAAACAAAAGTGACACTTACAACCATGTCGTATTTTGGCACGTATTACGTTGCAGTGTTGCGTCACGGGCCCCTGCTAGTTTAGCTTAGCTACGTAATAGTGATTCAGAAAAACGTTTTTTCATGGTTACAAACTCCTCCACATATATTTATCGGCAAAGATTTATTGACTTACCAAAGTGAGAGCAGCTCTAGTAGGAAGGATCTTTCTTTTACTGACCGCTCGCACGGTCGCTCTTACCAAGGAGGCAGACATGTTGATCAAGCGAACATCACAACAATAGACTGCGCATGCGCGTAAAATGTGACCACTGCGTCCCATGACCATGACTGACTAAATGACGGAAATGTTTATATAATTTGATTTAACGTGCAGCATTTCGTAATGCTTCAACTCATTTTGAGCTCGTTTTCCCAATTAACTGCTTACTGTAATGGTTACTACCCGATTTAAAACTGGTCAAGGTTCCTGTTGTGAAACTCCCTTCGCTGTCGTCATAAAAGTCATTTAAACCAATGACGTTCCTAGGTGAAGTCACGTTGCATACATTGGCCCAATTGTCTTGCAGCATTTCAACGTGACGTTTTAGTTGACGTTTTCCAGTGTAAATTACAATAATCTATATTATAATCAAGCTCTCGAGCTACTTGATGGAATATTTTACAAAGACTAGGTAGAAAAAAATAATCAGCCTGCTTTTTTTGTCAACTAAACCCGATCACAACTAACTTAACAATTTCGTCACAATGTATCATTTAATAATAAAAGCGGCATCGACTTCAAACTACAGTAATCAGAAATGAAATAACTCTTTAGAACATATGAACCAAAGATAGTCATTTCGTGGCTTTGTTCATGTACAGTGCTGTTTTAAGGTAGTGGAAAAAATGTTTGGAGGTGGACAATCGATTAGATTACGTAACAAGAGAGAATCGTAGAAAAAAAGAGTAAGTTTTGTGTACACTGTAGAACATCGAGTTCTGAGATTGATACATTCAAAGACTGGCTCAAAGAACAATTCACAGAAGCAAAAACTCATATTCATGTGCAATGGCTATACCACATTAAACTTCTAAATCCAAGCAAACACAAGATGACACAAGAATGTATTCATAAAGCACGTTGGTTGCCTCAACCTCTGCCCCAAAATTACCAGACAGAGAGAATGGCTGCTTCTCGTTGTGCAAATAAATAATATGTATCGGTAATATCATGGATAATGATCTCGTGAGTCTAGTATTAATGAATGAAATCTGACCACGTAAAAGTATTTTCAGTTTCTGGTCACAAAAGAGGACAAAACACATGAGTTAGAATGAAGGGGGCCATGGATAGATTACATAAGTATTTTTGACACAGGAGCTTAATTCAGTCAGAAAAAGAATGACCGTCGAAGTTCGAATTTATTTCAATAAGCGTTGGGCGCCCATTGTCACTGTTAATAAACTTTACGAACTGAATTTCTAGGCAAGCCGATGCGATGGAGAGAGGGGTTATTTCGGGGACCTTGGTATTATGTCTCTACTTTTTGAGCATGACATAAATTTAGTCCAGATTTAAACAGTACACCGCACAACAGTTATTTTCGAATGTAGGTCATTATACACGCGGTTTAGCGTCGTAAAGTGAGCAAAAGGGGTTGCCATGTTGGTTCTTTTGCAGTATTTTGTAGAGTCGTAAAGATGTTATTAATCAGCTAATAAAGCCCAATAACCAATAACAGTCGTTTAAATTGAACCATTATCACATTCATATGCGTGCATATTGCGACGTACTCTTTCATTAATGCTTCTTTGGATCAGTCATTGACCAAATGTCGGTGGCTTTTCCTCAAAAAACTTGGCAACCCCGCTCATTTTAGCTTCTTTCCTCGCTAGCTAAACCAGTTTAGCATTTTAGTACATTCTGGCCTCGACGAAAAGCCGAGCGTTTACAAAGAGCTTGCCACTATTATGCCTGTAAGTCAAATTATAAAATGCAATTTGCGCCATATATTAACACTACATCACTGTAATTATTGTAGCGTCGCGTTTACGGCGTTATCTAGACGTCGTGGTTCTTAAAAATGGCTGATAATGGATTTATTTTGACCATGGAGGCCTGGTTAGTTACGCCATGTAGCTAGGCGGTATTTTGGCCAATTTAAGCGCTTTTTTGAATTAAAAACATCTGAAGGTATTCTTCAGATTGAATGTCCAGTTGTTTGTTGGTCGTTTTGGTAAATGCATCAACGTGATTCCGTTTGTTAGGACGTCGTATGCGTTTGTTGTAAGCCACAAACGTGCTATTGAGAAAAATGGCTTCATTGCTCAAGATTGTGTGTTACACGCAAAATTCTATTTGTATGGCAAGTTTGAGGTATCAGCAAAGCATGAGGCAACAAAGAAATGTGTGAATTGAGATACGGATTTTTTTAATAGGACAGTTCCAATATTTAGGAGGGAAAAATTACGATAAACGATTTATATAGCAACGTTTTTTTATACGTAATTAATTAAATAAAAATTTTGGTCTCAAATATGTGAATTGCAAGCAGAACATTTGATTGTTTTGCTTTGCTTATACTTTGTCCTTTAGTATTCGTTGAACTTTACAGTAGAGGAATTTTCAAGTACAAAAACATGCAAAAAAGCATGAACGGATGAATTTAGTTTCAGGTTTAATTCATAAATCTATCTAGTACGTAAGCAACGTGAGTGAAGTTACTAATCAAACATGATTAATGCATCTTGCCCTTTAATGTTAAATCAAATTTCTTCTCCATTATTTTTCTTTACCATGAAATGATTATTTTGAATTTTAAACATGGGTTATATAGTGAGTAGAAATGGGAGCACATTTTAACGCCAATAATGCACACTAAGCATGAATATAAACCTTGTTAATATACATATACTGATAGACATTGCATCTTAAGGGCATATTAGAGTATGTCAAAGCATGAATATAAATCTTTGGATTTCCAGGCAAGTGGCGAGTCTGTAGACAACACTAGAGCAAACTCACCGGTCCATCACAGCAAGAGGCACAACATGGAATCCTCCAGATCGCCCAGAAGCTCCAAGCACCACCATTCACGCTCAAGGTCTCACTCCAGGGACAGAAAACGTGAGTAATAGAACCTGTACAATTGTTTTGTCAGAAACATTGGCTTTGGGTATTACCTGTAAAGATGACATTTATACTAGGTGGTAGTGGCTGACCGATATTTATTTTATTTTATTTTTTTTTTAGGACGTTTCCCATTGTTGGTAGAATAAGATTCCTCTTAGCGATCAGTTGACTGATTAAAAAAAAAAGTTTAGTTTTGTTTGCTTAAATGTCATAATGTTTGCCTCATTGGGTAATGTGTTAAACACGGAAGGGAATGGGCAAAACCAAATGCAATTTCATTTTAGCCAGTTCGGGATAGCCAACCCGAAAATGAGAGAGCTATCTGGCCGAAACACAAGTACTCGTGAAGCTTCGAGACCCACTTTCTAATCATTTGCTCTGCTCTTGTCATTTTCCAGGGAACAGGAAGCACAGGCGGAGTCGCAGCAGGAGCAAAGAGGTAACTAATCACTCGCTTCATTCCTTTAATTTAAAAGCACATTTTGATGTGTTTTTCTTTTCGAAGCGCGTCAGTCGTTAGTGGTTGTTAATTAGGCGGCCATGGTGAGTATTGGATCAGTGTTCCCCAACCATGGACCACTTACATATTGCAATATTTCCCCCGTATTAGTATTGCGTCATATACAGGGCATTCGGAAAGTATTTGCAGCATTTCTTTTATACCACATTTTGTTAAAGCTTTATTCCATGCTTTGACTGTTTTTGATAACTATTCGTTATCCGATTCATCATCTCATCCCTAGACATAAGGAAGTACAGTATTGGGCAAAGGGTGTGAATACTCATTGACATACAATTTTTCTGTCGTAATTTTTTTTTTTTTTTTAATAAACGGGAAAACATTTCTGAACAACTTTTTTTTTTGGGGGGAGAGGGATCTGTCATTATGGGGTGTTCTGTGTAGAAATTTTGAGGGAAGAATGAATTGTTCCATTTTGGAATAAGGCTGGAACAAAACAAAATGTTGCAAAAGCCCTTTGAGTACTTTGTGGATGCTGTGTATATATGGTGGGTATCAACATTTAAAAACAAAGGTTGGGGATCGCTGAGTGAGATGACAAAATTAAGTCAGAAAGGAATCGATGAGCGCGGGTATTAGATTTAATCCTCGGATATGTGTTATTTGCAACCATATTCTGTGGTGATTAGATATCTTTTATTTATTTTTTTACTTTTGTAAAATTGTGTGCATAGACCACATGATAACATTTCTACAATAAATCACACTCAGCGTGCTAAAGCACGAAGAGACTGAACAGAGGAGCCTGCTGACATAGCAAAATAATATGTCTACCACGGGGACAGGTAACTATTTGCTATTCAAACACATTCATGTCTTTCTCACAATTTATGTGTATTTTTGATTTATTTTTTTACTCGAATGAACATTTATTTGACAAGTTTAGATGTATAAAGTGCTGTCTTGTATCCATTCAAACGGACAATGTAATACAGTGTCGTGCGCCATTAGTCCATGATTGTGAGGTGGATGCATTGACTAGGAAATGCTGACTGAAGGTTCCAAATATCTTTAAAGAGTCTATACTCCAACATTGTTGTCATATTTTCTGAATGTACAAGCAATTGATGTCCTTGCAAACCATGGTACTAACTCTCTTTGTTGCACTATTTTCCTGAAAGAGACCCACTTCTTCTTGAAACAGGCACGAAAGAGAGAGCCGGAGAAGTCGTCCAAATCGCATAAGCAAGCGGACGAGCACCACGAGAGGCTCTCGGCCGAGGACGGCGACGAGCGGTCGCGGCGCAAAGACAGAAGGTCGCCCAGGGGTCGCAGCTCGTCCCGGTCGCATTCGCGCGACAGGTAAGCCTGGCCTGTGATTGCAATTTTGATGATACAGCTGAGCCTCGGGTTTGGTGAACGGATCTGTTGTTCCCATCAGGCGGCATCGTAGCAGGAGCCGAGACAGACGACGCTCCTCGCGATCGCACAGCCGCGACAGGAAGAGGAGGGTTCGCTCTCGGTCACGTTCCAGGTCCAAGCACCGGTACCGTAGCAGGAGCCGCAGCAGGAGCAGGAGCAGGTGCGCCCCCGGAATGTGATGATTTTTACTTTTGTTTCATGACCCAATGGACAATTGTGCTCAAACCAGGGAGCGAAAGAAAAAGAGCGAAAAGGTGCGCAAGAGGAGTCGAAGCGGCTCCGCTAATCCGCCCATCTTCCGGGGCCGCAATACAGCCATGGATGCGCAAGAGGCCTTAGCCAGAAGGTATGCACCAAAACTTTGGTGGATGTGTCCGCTGAAACAGGAGGCACTCCCAAAAAAATCTCATGGTCCAAATTGAACCGGAAGTCGGCCATTTTGGTTTTGTTTTGTGTGTCCATTTGGGGTGAAATTCACCCAAATGAGCTCCACTTGAGTTTTATTTTATTTTTTTTAATTGAAAGAAGTGGATCTTTTGGGCATTTTATTGGAGGCATTTTGATTCGAAAGAAGTGAATCTTTCAGCCATTTTATTGGAAGCATTTCGGTTTTTTCCGGCCGAATAAAGTCCCAAGTGCGTGTTCCTCATTAAAAAAAAAAAAAAAAAAAACATTCAATAAAGAATGTGCAATGCAAGTATGAAAATGATGACATATTCCCCTTTCAGACAGCAACCTCTCCTCCATCCACCCAACTCCATCTTTCATATGTCATCATGAGTCTTCAATTTGACCACCGTAATGAGGACAAAAGCGCTTTTGAAAACGAATGGCTGGATGTTTAGTCTTGTTCCAAAATGGCATTTAAGCGAGCTTGTTGGCTTGCTTGTCTTTTGCAGGTTAGAGCGAGCCAAGAAGCTCCAGGAGCAGAAGGAGAAGGAGTTGTTAGAAAAACGTCAGCAGGAGGTTGTTGGAGGTGAGGCTTCTAATTGTTGCCATTTTACAATGGTAACTCGACTTAGATGTTCCCCAATTTAAAAATGGAGCAGTTTAACAAAAAAACAAACAAAATAAGCAATCAAATAGAAAATGAGAGCACTCGTCAGGAGCTGCTGTCGGTCACAACTCAGACGCATGCATGCAGACAAGATTCTCCAGCGGGATACCAAATGAAGTCAAATTCATATTCACAACAGGACTGTAGTTCCTTATTTCTGGATTGATATTTAATTTTGTCTTTTAAAAAATCTCATAGTTTTCACTGAACCCATAGTAATATTAACATATCGTTATAGATATCTAGAAAAATCTCGAGAGATTCAATTGTGGCCATATCGCACAGCCGCTAGTACCACTGCATTCCCTTGTGCTGAGGCGTTGTGTTGGTTCCCAGCGACCTCTCCGGTGGCCTCTCCAGTTGCCGCCACAGCCGCCCCGACGGCCGTCTCGACTGTGGCCACCTCAGCCAACCACGCCCTCAACGTGGCCGCCCTGCTGGCGTCGGGCACACAGGTGACGCCGCAGATCGCCATGGCGGCGCAGATGGCGGCGTTGCAGGCGAGGACGCTGGCCGAGACGGGCGTAGCCGTGCCCAGCTACTACAACCCGTCTGCGGTCAACCCCTCCAAGTTTGCAGAGCAAGAGAAGAAGCGCAAGAAACTGTGGCAGGGCAAGAAGGATGGGGTAAGATGAACTGTGTGCTGAAACGGCATGTGGAAATCTAGGTTTTTGTTTTAAAAAAAAAAAAGAGGCTTTGTTGTCAAAAATAAACAGGAAAAAGTGTAAAGTAAAAATTGCGAAAAGTTCTATTCTGTGCACTTTTTCCTTCTTTTACGTGACACAAAATGACCCTGTGATTTAAAAAAAATGCCTTTCTTGTTGTTTTTTACAATGGTGTCTTCTGATTTGGTCATTTTCCAGGATAAGTCCCAGACGGCCGAGTTGTGGGAGAATCTCAACTTTGGTAACAAGGACCAAAATGTCAAATTTCGCAAATTAATGGGTATTAAGGTGAGTGTTTACTCCCCGCACGCGTCCCATGTTGTTGACATTGTACAAGTCTCGCCGTTGATCCCGCTAGGCTGACGACGAGGGAGAAGTGTCCAAACCGCTCAATGACGAAGGCCTGAAGACCCTTCAGAAACAGGAGGAGATGTTCCGCAACCTGGACGTGCAGTATGAGATGGCCCGATCGCAGACGCACACCCAGCGTGGCATGGGCCTCGGTTTCTCCTCTGCGTTTTCTCGCGGAATGGATTCCATCTAGGGGGTCTGTGCGGGACTATGTTTCAATTTATTCCTGGAGGATGGTGTAAATAACAAGAAGTTCTATCAATGCATACCTGGCTCAAAATGGACAGCGCTACTTTCGAATAGAGCTGTGGTAGTAATTGTTATTGTTTGTTTTTTTACAGTTGGAAATTGAAACCACAGTACTCCCAAAAAGGTTTGGAATATTGGCCTTTTGGGCTCATGGGACTCCAGTCTTTCTCTAAAACTGAGAGCCTGAGTTACAGAAAGGCATAGACGTGAACAGACTTGGAAATTTCGAAATTGCTTTGTGAATCAAAACCCTGTTGTCAATTCATCCAACAGGGAGCCAAAGAGCAAAACGTATGCAAAGAATACTGAAACAGTTCACTGTTGGACCAGCATGCAAAAGTCGAAAGAAGGTCAAATTAAGTTCGCATGGTTCACTCATTCTGAAGATGTACCTGAAAGACCAATCTGCCTAACTTTTTGGGAGTACTGTACCGTGTGTGTTTGGAAACTGAACTGCGTACAATGTGAACACTATTTATAGCTTCTTAGCAACAAAAAAAGTGTCTAATACCCCAAATTTCAGAAGTGTTTGAAGAAGAAAAAGACCCGTGAAACATTTTAATCTACAAATGCTCATTAGAATTTGTTTGCTTGTCGCCTTGTATTTTTTTTTTTTTTTTTTTTTTTTAGTTTTGTCCCTGATAGGAAAAAAAGATGTCCGCTCCTGCTTCCATGACTGACACAAATTTAAAAAAATAAGGCATTTGGGTTCATCCCTGAATTCCAACACACCCCAAATAAAATAAAATGTCAGAAGGCTTTATTTGACTCTATTTTGTAAGTACATTACAGTGATGCCAACTAGTCCCACTTGGTCAAACCAAAATACACCTGAAATTTTCCGTCCCTTTTCAATCCTACAAGAACACTACTTGCAGATGAGAGTGGAGTAGAGCACATGTGCCACACCTGTGATGAGGTTGTGGTTGGCAAACTCCAGAATGAGGAGCAGGATAGGGTACTCGCTTCGTCTCTTGGCCCAGTCCTCCTCCCGGCTCAGCCCCATCCAGTTCAGCAGCAGTGTCCTCATGGCGTCCGGGAACAGCTGCGCGGCCAGCTCCTCGGCCGGCGGCAGCTCCTCGATCCTCTGGATGTGGCGCTCCTTGAAGGCCTCCACCCGCTGGCTGATATCGCCGTGAGCCGCGGCGAACCGGCCGCCCAACCAGCCGGCCAGTGTAGTCTCTGCCGCGTCCTGCCCCTCCGCGGTCCCGTCCAGGCAGCGCTCGGCGTGCTCCAAGAGGAGCAGGGCCGGTTCCAGGTGATGATCCGTGAAGTTTTTGGCTGCCAGTTTGTTACTTAGGCTCTGAAGCTTATTTCTAAATTCAGATCGGCTTTGAGAGCTTTGCTGTGTGGAGTAAGAGTGATCCAATGACAAGTCTCTACTTGAGTTCTCGGGCGGCTTGGATGATTGTTCATCGGGCATTCCACTCCCGGCGTCCGATCGGTCCAGTTGCATGCACAACCTGTAACTGGACTTCAGTGGGTTGTCGCTCATCTGAGATTTCCACAAATCCTGCAATAGAGGACGCATGAAGTCACTTTGATAGCTTTTTGTCTGTTCATTGGAGTGCTATGAATTGATATTACGGCCCAACTGATGCGGGGGTATCTTTTCGCCTGACGCAGAGTGTAGGTGCCTGCGCGTGTTGAAAGAATCATCTTAAACATGTGACCGTATACAACCTGCATGTTGTCCATCACCGCCAGCTGCTCCCGCTTAGCGTACATCTCAAAGGCGATGCGGAAAAGCCCGTGAATTGTGTAGAACCAGAGGCCGTTGTTGGACGTCGCCACCTTCAACCCGCGTAACCTGAATGCTGACAAAACAAAAGCCACACAAGGTTGCTGATACCACCAAACCCGCAGGGATTGATTCTTTTTATTTTGTTGAGTTTACCTGAAGAGAAGTGGACTTTGGTGGCGAGACCTTTCCTCGCAAACTTGGCGTGATGCCTGGGATGGTTCTCTGCGCGGACGTCTGTGGTGGCCAAGAGGTCGGCACCGAGAAAGAGAGGAACCGACCCCTTCAACAAAAAACAGTTTTCAATACTTTTTAAAAATGAAAACTTCAGAAAATGGTTGAGAACCAGAACCACCGACCGCCAACCGTGCTTAATGTTTTACAGTTGACTACAAAACGATTAGCATCATTGCCAATGCGCCAAATAACAGCTATGGCTCTGCTCCACGTACCTTTTGCTGACAGTCTGTGAGTGTGAAAGACGACTCGTTTACCAGGTAAATGTAACGAATTTTCCTCGAGCCTGCGTCCCAATGCGGCAATGACAAATAGCTAAGGTTTGACATCGTCCCTGCACAATACTAGTGAACACGTTACACAAATGTACCGGGGTTTCGTGATTTCAATCGCTCACTAAAACAAAACACGCCAGCTTGCATCACGAAGGACGGTGGCCGGTTTGTAGTATGTTTTCGTTAGACTCGGAGTTTTTTCTTGCAGGTTTAAAAGTGAGCTAGTAGAAAAAAACGAGCATGAAAATATTTTTATTTTTAACATATAAACAATTGATTAGAGTTTTCCCGTAATTCCCATGTTACACAGCAAAACAAAGAATGTGCGTAAGGGTGACGTCATTCGTGAAAAGGTTACATTTAGTCGCAAGCTTTTAAACACAGATTTGAATAGGTAATTCGGATACGCCCCTTCAAGCTGGGTCCCTACGGCTAGCACATGTTTTGACATAAACAGTTACACTAACATCGTGAAAATCGGTTGAGGTATGACCTTAGTCTCATTTATTTTCCAATCCGCATGTATTAATTTAGATGGGAATGTTGCCCCTATCAAGGTGGCCTCCACGCACGCACGTTCCAGGTTACGGACAGTCAACCAATTAGAGCGGTCACCGAGATTACGTAGTAGGCCATGTGACAAACCCAACTAATCAACACAAAAGTATTTTTTTCACTGTACAAGTAAACCAATACAAGCGCCCGTTTGTCTCACGTGATAGACCATGTGACTTACACGACCAATTAACGCGAGTTTTTTTTTTGCCAATGCGCTAGCTCTTCTTGACCAGGGGCTGCAATGGAAAAAATGGCCGAAGTTGATTTTGGAGACGCGGAGCTCTTTGATCAACTGGATGACTTCACACCGGTCCCCACACACATTCGCTTTCCGGACAGGGACGACGCCGACACGGTGGAGGACGACGACGACGAGAAGTGCAGGCTCCGGAGCCGCCTGGACGAGTGCGACTACTGCATTGAGAAGCTAACGGAGGAGAATATCCTTGCGGTGCTCTCTTGCGCTTAGGATTTACACATGCTAACTGTAGCTAGCTTGCAATAGACAAAATACTATAATCCTTAACATGTGTTTCACATAAAGCTTTGAGGAGAAAGTTGACTATCCTAACGCGGCCCAGGTGACAAGATGACGCGGTGGCGGGCTACATTTCAAAGTGCTGTGGCTAATGTTGTGTCTTTGCCTTTAGCGGAATCACGATAGAAGATGTCAACATCGACGGCCCCATCGCGCAAATTATTTATTCCAACAATGCCATAACAAAGTAAGTTTTAAAATAGGATGTCAAACTTGCATTATTGTTTCATGATGGGGTTAAGTTTCGAAAGCAGGGTCTACAAAAAAGGCCAAAGCCAAGTCCTTTTATGCACCAAAAGATGGCACTGACTGAGACTGTCCTTCCTAGGCAATGTCGTCAAGAAATTGAGGATTGCCTCTGCGGCATCATTCTGAGACACCAAAAAGAGGCAAATCGCAACAGACACTCGGCATCATCACACCTGAAACCTCAGGTGTGTGTGTGTTTAGATCCTACGCGTGTGTGTTTGTGCCCACATGATTGTGTAAATGCTTTCTGTGTGCGATTTGATACGAAACTGTTGAGAATAGATGGTGTGTGTGTGTGTGTGTGTGTGTGTGTGTGTGTGTGTGTGTGTGTGTGTGTGTGGAGGAGGGTAAAGATTTTAAATCTGGACATTTGTTGCCAATATTTTTACGACACTGTTGTGTGTGTATGGTGTGTGTGTGTGTGTGTGTGTGTGTGTGTGTGTGTGTGTGTGTGTGTGTGTGTCGATGCTGCGTGTATGGTTGAATAAATGGTGTGTGTGCTTATGGGCATATCGATGGTACTTGTGTGCACTAGTGTACGTGGTGTGTTGTCTCTTGAAGTTCCTTGTATTTATTTAACCTTTAGTCTGACCAAAAACTCCTTTTTGTGTCCTCTGTGAAGCCGTCTTCATTTGCCGTGGACGAAGACCCGCAAAAATTGGCCTCCACTAGTGTGAGAACAACAACCGAACCCTTTAAAGTGAGTACACACTGACCAGCCTGGCTGTCACAGGTTATGAACGCACTTGTAGGTGACCATGTGGAAAGGTATCACCTCTCCAGCCTTTTTGAGCTGCAAGCCATCGTCGCCATCGGACAAACATTTTATCGGGCACACCAGACAGAGTTAACTTTTCCCCCAGCATGTCAGGTTTTGGAGATATTTAACATGTTTATTTTGAAATTTGACCGATAAAAAAGCTTGCCCATTAGGGATTCTATCATGCGTTGTAATTAAGAGTTAGGCTGTTTCAGAAAAAAAAACATTCCACCTGTTGCTGAACCTAACTCTTAATTCATAAATATGACAAAATCTATGACCTTATTGCATATTATTATTATTATGGGAACCTGATGTGCTAGAAAAAAAAAACAAGGGCAGCTTTAGAATCGGCACAAAAAATAATTAGAAAAGTTTACTTGCATCCCTAATATACATACATA